GCTCCCGAAAGGATTGAAGATTTCCGCAAAGCCAAAGAAGCGGAGGTCACTCAGTGGGTTCGTTCGGCAGCGTGCCGGGCGGTGGAAGGCGGCAGGCTTATTCCGAAGGACAGGGTGATGAAGATGCGGTGGGTCCTCACCGTGAAGGGCAGCGGCGCTGCAAAAGCTCGGATCGTGATCGTGGGCTTCACTGACCCTGATCTTGCTTGCTTGCCTAAAGCCAGCCCAACCATGAGCCGGAGATCCAGACAGTTGATGGCTACCATGGCGGCGACGGCAGGGTGGTCTCAGCTGAAGTGTGACGCGAAGAGCGCTTTCCTTCAATGCAGTCGGAACACGGAGGAATCACGAAGCATTTTTGCGGTACCCCCGGATGAGTTGGCGGATGCCATGAAAGCACCTCGTGGCAAAGCAGTGCAGATTTTGAAAGCTTGCTACGGGCTGGTCAACGCCCCGTATCAATGGTTCTGCGAAGTGCGAGATCGCATTCTTCTCATTGGAGGCGAAGCTATCCACACCGAGCCTTGCATGTGGATTGTTCGCGGTCCCGACAGCAGTGTTTGTGGAATCATTGCCTCGCATGTGGATGACTTTTACATGGTAGGTGATGAACAGGACCCCACTTGGAACGCATTCTTGGTGAACTTCAAGCAGTCATACATGTGGAGCCCTTGGGAAGCAGATGTGTTTGAGCATTGTGGCATCATCATGCAGCAGCTTAGCACTGGTGAGATTCAGTTGGATCACAGCAAATATTGCACTAGCATGAAGCAGATCGATCTGAAGGATCGAGATGATCATGCTCCCGCCAGTCCCACAGAAACAGAGCAGATGCGCGCTATGTTAGGTGCGGTTCAGTGGCGTGTGCAGCAGAGTGGACCTCAACATGCGGCGAAACTGGGACAGCTCTTGACCATGGTTAAGGCCCCGACTGTCGCTATTTTGCGTGAAGTGAACAAGTTAGTTCGCGAGGTCTATGCGGAGAGACACTCGTCTCCCCGGTTGCAACCGCTGAAATGTGAGCTCGAGAAATGGTTTGCTGGACAGACGCGGCATTAGCCAATCGTGGTGACGGAGGCTCGACAAGCGGATACATAGTGGCGGCGGCCCCTCCGGCTTTGCTTGAAGGTCGTAGGTCACCTGTGTGCATGTTGAGCTGGAGATCAACGAAACTGCGGCGCGTGGCTCGCAGCTCGCTAGCTGCAGAAGCTCAAGCATTCTCTGAGGGTGAACAGGAGCTGATGTGGTGTCGTTTGCAGTGGCGTGAGATGCTTGGTGAACGCATCGACTTGCAGAGCCCGGGGAACAGTTTGCAGAAAACCCCTGGAGTGATGGTGACAGATGCCAAATCTCTTTACGACGCTGTGAGCCGTGGGGATGCAGCAACGAGCGGTTTGGGTTTGTCGGACAAGTACTCAGCTCTGGAAGTGCTGTCGGTGATGGAGAGACTAGCAGAAGCAAAGACATCAGTTCGGTGGGTGCACAGTGGTGCGCAGCTGGCAGATGGGTTGACAAAACACCAGCCATCATCGTGCCTGAAGAAGGCCATGACGGATGGCGCCTGGACGCTTGTGGCAGATGAGAACTTTCTGTCGCAGAAGAAGCGCAAGAAGATCGGGTTGGCAGATAATCCGGTCAACACAGAAGTTTCTGGCAAAAGACTTTGGGGCATGTGAATATCTGGCCTCTAGACTTGCCTCCATCTTCTGTGCATGACCATGTGACCCGCCGGTGCATTTCGGTTTACATAGGAATTCCTTCGGCCATATTTGTGTCTTTGACACGCACACCGTGCGTGGACGGCTACTTGCAGGTGAAAAGGTTTGCGGCAGCGCGGACCAGATCAGAGAGGTTGAATCTCTGTTGCCAGTCAAAGACGCAGGCGCAGGCACAGGCGCAGACACGGACAGACAGAGAGACACAGAGAGACAGACAGACGCAGACAGGCACAGACAGACACAGAGAGACACAGACAGACACAGTGCAGACAGACACAGACAGACGCAGAGAGACACAGACAGACACCGACAGACACAGACAGACACCGACAGACACAGACAGACGCAGACAGACACAGACAGACGAAGACAGAAACAGACACAGGCAGACGCAGACAGACACAGACAGACACAGACAGACACAGACAGACACTGACAGAGACAGACACAGACACAGACAGTCATAGACAGACACAGACAGACACAGACAGACACAGACAGAGGCAGACACAGACAGACAGAGACAGACAGAGACAGACAGACGGACACAGACAGACACAGACAGACAGACAGACACAGACAGACAGACAGTCATAGACAGACACAGACAGACACAGACAGACAGGCACAGGCACAGACAGACAGAGGCAGACACAGACAGACACAGACAGACAGAGACAGACAGAGACAGACAGACGGACACAGACAGACACAGACAGACAGACAGACACAGACAGTCATAGACAGACACAGACAGACACAGACAGACACAGACAGACAGGCACAGGCACAGACAGGCACAGGCAGGCACAGGCAGGCACAGACAGACAGACAGACAAGCCAGGCAGAGACACCCGCACACTGACACACACACACACAGACACAGGCACACACACACACAGAGACGCACAGTGGTGATGCGGAGATCGTGCGCAGTTTCGGGTTTCGGAATATATCACTTTTGGGACCAGAGAAATTCCACTTTCGGGATTCGGGTCTATTCCCAGTTTCGGAATTTAATCGCATTTTTTGCGCAGCTTCGGGATGCGGGATTTAATCGTATTTCGGGATGAAACCCAATTTTCGGGATTCGCGGTTCGGGATTTAAGCATATTTAAGCCCAGTTTCGGGATCAAATCGCATTCTCGGGGTTTGGGAATCGGGATTAAGCCCAAGTTTCGGGATTCGGGATATAATCACATTTCGGGATTAACTCACACTTTCGGGTTTCATTAATTCCCGGCTTCGGAAAAATGGCATGTTCGGAATTTAGTCACTAAGATTTAAGCACATTTTCGGGATTCCATCCCTTTCTCGAGACGGCCCCCGCGCGAAACAGGACGCTGAGCCTGGTCATTACACGATTGGAGTTTTCTTGGTGGCAGCCTCAACTATTTGTCGTCGACGACACTGCGCCGCTTGTTTGGGGTCATGCTTGGCATGAATGCCAAGAGTGAACCTAGGCCATCGCAAAGCTGTTCCAACGAAGAAAGTGGATTCACAGACGCCTGCTTGCACGCCTTCCATGCGGCGGGCATTGCGCATCTAAGAACCATACATCTTCATGTGCATCAATTTCTCAGCTCACAATCCAAGATGACTTAAAAGGCCTGTCGGTGGAAGCTTCATTGGATGAGCCGTTGAGCCCAGGGGGCCTACCAGGATGCTTCATGTTGAGCTGAAGCGCTGCTTCCCATCCGCTTTACCGTTGTTTGTTCATGGGCTTGGGATGCTGAGCGCTGTTGCCGAAAGCACTTCGCTAGAGGCAGCCGCAGGTGTTTGACTGGCTGTCAAGCCCAAGGACCTCCTTTGCAGATATCTTGGCACATGTTTTCCCGACGCCGAGGATTTCAAGTTGCTCAACCTTTACGCAGGAAAGATGGTGAACGAAGGGTCCGATTGCTGCTTGGCGGGGTAGTGGGAGTAGCATGTGGCCATCGGGCTCACAGGGCAGTGAGGCAGTGACCCTCGTGCTTGAGGTGGCGCCCTCGTGGCAACAAGCATCGACAAGGAAGGAGAGATGCGGTTGCCGAAGACAGGCAGCCAAGATCTTTTCTGGCTGGCAGGCATGCCGCGCTCTCAGGCACGACACGACGCAATTGTATTGAGACTATTTGAGACCTAGGTTTGGAAGCAAATACTCTGACAGCATGGGAGGAGCGCAGGCTTGGGGTGAACATGGCGAACGCATGTACAGCATTTCTGGAGCGTTGAAATGAGACTCGACTCGGGACGTGGTGCCTTTGCCACCTTGAACTTCAGGTGAACGTGAAAGTTGCCGAGCTTGTGTTCCACGAGTTCCGCGAAAACGGTGACGTGATTGAGTACAGCCACTTGGCAGTGGGCAGGGAGAATAGACATGACAGGCAAAAAGGGAAAACCTTAATCGCGCGCTCAGGTTTTTCTGGTTTGGCTCGTTTTTCATGGCTAGCTTTCACTTTGTGTCTGGCCCTGAGGCATTTGCGGGCGAGGCTCGTTGACCTGGAAGGCCAGCGTAACCTCTTGTGTTTTGTTGCATGTGCCGTGCGTCAGGACAAGCATTTCTACCTTGGATGCCCTGAGACGAACCCGCTGTCAATTGTCTTCCCAGATGATGCCCTCGGGCTCTTCAGACGCACCCAAAGACAGCACTGAAAGATCTGAAAAGCATCAACTAAGGGAAGCAGTAAAGATTTGCTATGGAAGCGTCCCTTCGTCAGAGAAAGCAGTGCAGTCCAACTGCTACTTGGCTGACATTGGATTGCTGCTTTTGGGGAATAGTAGGCATAAAGAAATACATGATTATGGAGCGCGTGACAGCTTCTGTGCTGTGCATGTGCAGGCTTCAACGTGTGATTGGATTTGCTCGTGGGTTTGGCGATGAGTGATGCAGCGAAGCCGCGCGAGTTGCCAACAAAACAAGCGCGCGGGAAGGGGGTAAGCTGGTGCTTGTGAGCGAGCTGCTGTCAATCACCTTGGCGCTGACTGTAAGAGTCACGGAAGCGCACACCGGCGCGTGCGCTTCCTCTCTTTTTGTTTTTTCTCTCTCTCTCTCTCTCTCTGTTTGTGTTGCATTGTCTTGAGCTGCAGCCTGTATGGCGGCATGTACAGTGGCATTTCATGACTAACCTGCGTGGGAAAGCATGCCAAGCCCCCCTTTTGCCTCGGCCACCCGGATTTGCGTGCGTGTGTGCGTGCGTGTGCTTGTGTGTGTGTGCGCGCGCACTTGCCAGTTCGGCAAGGCAAATGATGTAAGCCTGCCGTGCGCGGCAAGAACGCTGTGTAGTAAGTGGACATGCTAAGGCCGAATTGCTCAACATGGCAGTGATGAATTTTGAGGCCAGGGTTGCCACTGCGAGGATAGCAGTGAGCTGATTTGCACCATACTGCTTCTACCGGATGGAGGGCGTCAGTCACTGCCGTACTTGATGCAGGTTTCTTCTCAAGCACGGTCATTCTCGGCCAGCCGCGCATGGATCTACAATAGCAGCAGCAATAGCAGTGCACATGCCATTGCCGCATGCACTTGAATTGATTGCATGTCAATGGATGCCCTCACGCCCTGAAATTCAATCCTTTGAACATAGGGTGCATCATGACGGAGACTCATGCTATAGTGCTGGCTGCGCTAGTTGCAGTGCTGCCTCCTCGCTGGCACCGGAGATTTGCAAGTCTTGTATGGAAGCTCTCTGGCAGTGCGCGCATCAACAGCGCTTGGACGGTGTTCTGTGTGACTCTGGCCCTGAACGCCTTGCGACAATGGTGGGTGGAGTCATGGCAGAGGGGACTTTTAGGATTGCTGGCCACGTGTCGCAGTAGTTCTTTGGCTTTTATCTGCAGGCTGCCATTCTTAAGATCGATCGTGGACAAGGAAGTTGGCAAAGAGCTGGCGTCTATCGAGAAGAAAATGCATGGCAACGGAGACCCTCATGCCATAGTGAAGCTGCCAGCGGAAGGCATGCCTTGTTCTGAGATCTTGCAGCAGCTGCAAAACTTGCACGACGCTGAAGCTTCGATTTATGCCCGGTGCCCTAGTTTAGTTCCAGTTTTCCAATTGCTATGTTCACTTGACTCTTGCAGTTGGGGGGGGAGATTGCAGACTGACTTGTACTTCCCAGTCAGCTCCTTGAGGTAGGGCTTGCCAAGAAGTGGGCTGGCATCTACCATTCTCCGGTGGGGGAATTGGTTGAGCTCCAGAACAAGGTTTGGAACCTGTACAACTGCTCAAATACCTTGTACGAAGGCGTTTTTCCTTCAGTGCGCAAATTCGAAGCCGAGATCATCAGCTGGATTCTTCACATACTTCATGGTGACGCCTCAAGTTGTGGTTTGCTAACGTCTGGCGGCACCGAGTCCGTGTTGTTAGCCATCCTGAGCTACCGTGAAATGGGGCGGCGCAGAGGAATTGCAACTTCTCGCGTTCTGGCCGCCAATACGTGCCACCCAAGCCTGGTCAAGGCTTGCCACTACTTCGGAATGAAACTGACCAAAATTCCGGTCGATAAATCTTCGAGTTTTGCGCTCACTGCCTCAGCAGTTCGCCAATATTTGACTAGCGACGTGGTTTGCATCTACGCTTCGGCACCCACCTTCCCACATGGGGTGATTGATGACATTGAGGACCTAGGCTGTTTGGCCAGCTCCAGGGGCGTAGGCCTGCATGTGGACAATTGCTTAGGGGGAGTGCTCCTCTCGTACATGGATCGCCAGGGCTGCACTCCAAAGCACCAGCTTTGGGATTTTCAGGCGGCGGGCGTCACATCCATCAGCGTGGACATCCACAAGTACGGCAATGCTTCAAAGGGTGCCAGCGTCGTGGCATTTCGCGACCCAGATTTGAGGCGGCTCACCTATGTCGTCGTAACGGATGGCTGCGAAGGCCTCTACGTGACGCCAACTCTGCAAGGCTCGCGTGGCGGAGCTGTCATCGCGCAGGCCTGGGCGACGATGTTGCGCTTCGGAGACGCGGGCTATCTGCAATTCGCAGCTGAGATCCATCGCTCCCACATGAAATGCCAGGAAATCATTAACTCCGTGCCTGGCTTGCAGCTTGCCCGCATCATTGTCCAGATTTGCCGTGTTTGGATAATATGTTTTGTCACGAGGTGTGCTGAATTGTCGTGTCGCCGTCTTAGCCACAGCCAGGTACGTACTTTGCAAGTGCCATGCTAGCATCGTGCCAGTGGGCTCCAACAAGCACAGCATTTACGCCATTGCGTCGGTTTTGGAAGAAAAAGGGTGGAACCTGGCAACCGGCCAAAACCCACCATGCTTGAGCATTTGCATCGGCGAGCGCCATTCCCAGATTCTGCAAGACCTGGAGCAAGACCTGCATTCCACTGTCGGGTTTCTAGATGGGAACCCTCAATACAAGCCCACTGGCACGGCTGCAGTGTATGGCTCCATGTCCACTACCCCAGCTGCTGTGCTCGACGAGGTCGTGAGGAGATACGTTGACATGCGCTTAACAGTGAAGACTGCTGGAACCGACGTGTGAGTTGCGGAAACAAAAAGCGATTCTCTGAGTTCTGGGGTCCTTTTGCCACCGGCAGTCAGACTGCAAGCGGCCCCAAGGTTTAGCAAGCCGAGTGCCAAGCCTGGGGCCAGCGTTTTGCTTGCCAGGCCGGCTTTGCGATGAGCTGAATTTGCCGGGCACCACTGAGAGGGACACGTTCTTTTGAGGAGTGCAGGTCCAGCTAGTTGATTTGACCACACGGACGACGTCTTCGGGCAAAGCCCACGACTCCGTTTGAGCTCTTCCGTTGCCGTAAGGTCTTGAGCATTGGAAAATCCCGTGTGTTGCATGCCGAAGTGCATGCCGGAACATTTTGCCAGCAGGTTGAGTGGAAGTGCAGCGTTATGCCAGCCCGTCCGGCTCAGCCCTTTGGCTCTGCGAGGCCACGCGCTTCTTTTACTGAGGTGGGCGGTGAAAGGGCTTTGACTTTTCTCGAGGCTACCCTTTTCCGGTGGTGTTAAAGGGAAACCAACAGGACAACCACCATTCTTGGGGTCCCCTAAAGAATAACAAACCTAAAGGGCAGGCATTCCATTTGCGCTCACCATGTTTCTTGCCTGATTTGACTCGTGAGGCTGAGATGGCGATGGCCACTGCCCAGCCCATCTCGGTGGATCCGAAGACAAAGTTGACACTTGGCTCCAGCAAGTTGCTTTGGCTCGGTTCATCTCGGTTCTGGCTCGTGGCCTCGTGGCTGGATCGGCTGGATGTGAGGAATCATTTCTGCCAACGATACTGCAACCGACCCATCACCAAGAGCGACTTTGCTGCACTGGTGGGGAATGTCGGACGTGCACTCAACGGGGTGGGCCACATTCCGGCATTTGTGCCTCATGCTCATCGCTGGTCATCCTTGCTTGCAGCTTTGTGCGGGTGCCATGCAATGTGCGAGTGAATTGTCAACGTGGGAGTTCATGCTTCTCCTGCGGCTTGATCTTGATTTGGGTCCAAAGTTGGCAAGTCGTGGGCGGAATCGATCTGAGCTTTGCACGCACTTGTCACACTTGTCTGCCTCGCAGCCGCGCCATTTGCTGCAAGGCGACGTCTCGTACACGACCAACAAGTGCCTTGGCTAGGGCACAAGGAAGGCAGCGCCTCCCGAGACATGAGCCGGCTATAACACCTGCCTTGGCCCAGGTGGTTTGTGACATGGCAGTGGCACACGTTTAAACTCAAACTTGGTTGAATTACGATAATTGTGTTTGTTGACAGTCGCCCAAGGTTTGGAAACAAGTGGCTTGGCTGAAGTGAAGCCATTGCATGTCCCAATGAATTTGCAGGAGGCGGCGTATGCAGCATCACCGCAGGTATCAATCAATCGTCAAGCTGGACTGCGTGCAGGCTGCAGGGGCTGTAGCGGCTGCCAGGGGCTGCAGCGCATTCAGGGAGAATACACCCAGTGCGCACCGTTCGCAGCGCAGGGACAAGAGTACGCCGGACACCTCTCCCTAAACCAAAAGGACGCCGAGAAGTGCGGTACTTAGAAGGAAAGCATGCAAAAGCCATCAGAGCTTGGAATTTGTGGGCAGATGTGGGCAGAGGTCAGCGGCAGAGCAGGCCGTCATGGCCTTTGCAAGCACTGATTTGCTGCAGCCTGACAAGGACCATGACTACTTCCATCCACTGTCAGCTCCATTCGCGTTATTTTGGGTGAGTTAGGAATGAACACATGCGCAACAGCACGTTGCAAGTGTCGGCGGACGTTGCGATGCAGCCATAGGAGAAGAAAAAGAAAAAGCAAACTAAGCTGACGCCGGAAGAGCAGGCGTTGAGAAAGGCCATTTCGAGAGTTTTGAGTTGGTGCTCTTACCACTGCTGGAATTGCAGGGTCGTTCTAGTTCTGAAACAAGCGAAGGCCAAACAAGAGGAGGAAGGCAATCCTGCAGTCACGCCGAAGACGCAGCTGAATGCGACTTGGACTTGCAACAGGTCGCTTCTTCAAGACAGGCGACTTTACTTCGATGCCGAGACATGCCGGCTGAGCAACCAGCAAGAGCCAGCCCGTCAATCAGCCGGCAATCTGCAGCCTGCCCCCCGCATTTCAGCTGTTAAGAATTGCCGGCGCCCTTCTACCGCAGCCCCATCCCAACCAGAGGTACCCAGCGTGCATGTGCGAGTTTGTGTGAGGGATGCGCGGGTGCCAGCGCATGCATGCGAGCACGCGTGCACGGAGGTTCGGGCGTTCTCTCGCCGATTTCTTGTGCGCGCTCTGCAGTTCATAGCGCTGGCATGCGAATTTGCCGCCAATCCTCCATCATTAGCATCACATTGCTCACATCGCTGTGTTTTCTGCTGCTGTTCCTCGGCCTTTTCACTTCTTCGTTTCTTCCTTCATTTTTGCACACTGGGTGCCGTCACGGGCACGGGCCCGGCCGCTTTCCCAAAAAGGTCTTCGATACCGCTGTTGCATTCCGGCACCCAGGACTGGGCATGAACTAGGCAATGTTTTGCACTACTGTGGGAGACGGCGCTGGGCAGCAGCCCGTAAATCGATCAGATACACGGCAAACGACCCCAAGCAAGACAAGAAGTCGGGCCTTGCGTAGACTACACGTGGATGACACTGCCAGCATCACCGCACCCTCCACACCATCACGTCGAACATGACGTTGGAATTCCATATGCTAGGTATTATGGAATAGCGGCAGACAAGAAGAAAAAAAACAAAAACAGCAGAGGGCACATGTCAATGTGAAACTGGTTCGCACAGGATCGCCACAGCGTGTTTGACAAGAGACGCTTGTATGCGCCTGGCGCCCCTTCGGCGGTATGCAGACATACGTGTTGAAATTCAGATCGGGATGTGCACGACCCTTAGAAACGATGCCAATAGAACGCATGTGCATATGTCAGGACCGCGGCCGCAGGATAGGAAATGCCTGCTACTTGATTACATTCAATTTGACCGCATATGCACACATACATATATATATAGAGAGGTAAATATATATATATATATATAAATACATATATATATACACATACATATATTTGCATACGTGTATGTATGTACATATAGATATACGCACACACACACGCACATATATATATATATATGTATAAATGACTTGTTCATTGATCCCGTGCGCCTGAAATTCCTTAAGTCAGGGGTCGGCGGATAGCGTGTTGTGACTGGCAACCCTTGGGCCATCCAGCCAGAGGCTTTGGTCATGAAGATAGCGAGACGCTACCTCCAGAAGGCTGCGCTTGCGGTTGGAGGGTGTGTTGTTTTTGGGGATACATGCCTGACAGTTCATCCTCACCTTTTCAGCTAGCACGCATCTTCCTGCTGGCAGTTGCCGGACGCTCAGGGGGAGACCATCTATGACACAAAGACCTACGCGGGTGGTGGTCATCAGGACTCATGGTTGCACTTGCGTTATCGCTATTGCTTCAGCCTACTGGCTTGGCCAAAACTCATGGAGCTGAGGCTACGGTGCAGGTATCTGCGTTGCCAGGGGAGTGGGGTCAACGAATGTGGGCTGGTCACGCGCCTCGGATGCAAAGTTGCGACGCCGTGTGCGCCATGGTGCGCCAGCCTTCGAGCCCCCAGGTTTGCAGCACAAAGCAGAAGGACCGCGGGGACTGTTGGGACTGTTGGGATCGTTGGGATTGTGCCATTTTCCACACTGAGAGCCACCGAAGGCTGAGCAGAGCGCTGCGGAGATGGCCCTGGAGTCAATCAAGCAGGAGATGGAACGAGCCTGAAAGCTGCCAAGCAAAGTGATGGGAAAGACCAGTGAAAGGTTGAGATGAGATGAGTTGAGACGAGTTAAGACGAGTTGGGCCAGGACAAAGAACTCATGGAAGAGGCCGAGAAGCCGAAAGGGGCAGGCAAGGGCGGTGCCAAGGCTGGGTGCTCCTTGCTTGCTGGAGGGCACAAAATGCGTCACCTGTCAGGGCAAAGGAAAAGGCAAGGGCGCCCTTTGGAACCCATGGGAGCTTGGATGGCCTTTCAGACGCACTTTGTTCAAGGTGGTGGCAGTTAAATCAAGCTACGTGACCCGTGTTTGCTCAGGTGGAATTCTCGAGGAAGCTTGCTTGCAAATGCTTGCTGTTTGGTGTAATGAGCTTTGACTTGTTTTTGGTGCAAGGCTTGCTTCCACGGCGTGTGCCCAAAGCAAGAGGAAAGGGTTGAAGCTCAATGCTGGAGGCTCTGACCTACCTCGTAAGCCGGTCCTGACGGAGGCCATTGTTGGGGAGGTCCTTGAATGGAAGGACCCAGGGCGCATCCTGCACAGGCAATGATACTTTTCAAGAACCACCCGCAACGATCAGTTGGAGGGAAAGTCGGGACTAGATTGCCAGCACAGGACTCGTATGGCTGGATCAGGCCTGACGTAGCCATTGACCACAAGCTTGCCGCCCGACGAGAAGGGAAAGTGTTCGCTCCTAGGCAGAGACATAATTTCTCCTGGTGATCCAGCCCACATGCCGCCAGCATTCCTGAATGAGGTTGGCAAGACAGATGCGCTTGATATCTCATTGGCCATTCTCTCGGGCTACTAGGGTTTCCGTGTCCCCATTGGCAATGTTCGCCTGAGGCCCCTGGTACCAAAGTCAGCTTCACCGTATATGAGGCTGGTAGCTGAGTTGCTGCGTTGCTGAGCCTTTCAGTGTTGCATTGTCCTGTTTGCAACAACAGGATGCGCTTGGTCTCGGAGCTGAAGGTTTGAGCGTGCTTTGAAGGGGCTGCGCATGCCTTTAAGGCATGAGGGATGCCGCTGGTCAGGCAGCAGGTCTGTCAGGTCAGAGGATGGCTGAGGCATTCCTTTGCAAACAGCAAGCCGCTGAGCCAAGCCTGCTGCTGCCACCAACTGGCAATGGGCATGGACAGCAGGTGTGGACTGCGCTGTTAAGCTGTTAAGCCAAGTTGGCTTCATATTCATGGCTTTGCTTTTTTGTTTGTTTGCTTGTTTAAATATCCCCTTCCTTGCCTGCTAGCCTGCCTGGCAGGCCTGGCAACTTGATTGGTTGCTCGCATCGGATCCAGGTGCACATGGATGTTAAACCGGTAGCCTTTGCGCGGCAGTCAGTGAGGAGTCAAGCATCAAATCATCAATTGCACCCTTGTGAAGCAGCTGCTGTTGTTGGATACTAGCGCAAAAAGGAGGAACTGAGCGAAGGCGTAGAGCTATCCGGACGGCCAATTGCGAAAGACCAAGGGTCAGTCACGGGCGTAGCGTGGGCTACTCCAAAGAGGGACATCAGCGCGGTTGGCCTGATGCAGCTAGCCGCTAGCCAGTGCTCATGGATAGGACTGTTAGATTGCAGCCTGGGGCAACTCGCCAGTGGCATTCAGGTTATGCTTCCCCGTTCATGCGTTGCCTCAAGAGCTCGCAATCTGCCAAGCCGTGGGTTCACAAGGCTTATCCTCCCAGAGAATATTCTCTCCCAGGCCCTTTGCATAGTCGGCCTGCACCCTCGTGGGGGTTGCATGGTGAAGCGTACCAGGTTGGCAAACATTTGGAGCAATCCCTGCTTTTTTTTTGGCCACGAGTGCAGGAATTGTCGAATCCTTCCGCAACCTGCCAAGGGACCTTTCGGATGGGCACCTCAAGCAAGCCCAAGACGCCCAAGACTGAAAGGTGCCTTTGAGGGTGGTGGAAGATGCAATCAGGGAGCCCGTTTCAGATGCCAGGTGTGGCTATGCTTTGTCCAGCATGAAACCTGCTTTGTCCATGCCGGCTTCATATGGGCTGGGCCTAGGGGTGCGGATAAGCGATGGCACCCCACATATCTCCATAGTGTGAGGACATCGAGATATGCAAGGTGCGCCCAGTTGAGCATAAGCCAAGAAGCATAGAGGGGGGGATAGTGATGTTTTAGAAGGGCCAATTGAACAAACGCTAAGCAACATAGTGGGCACGCTTGAGGGCTTCAATGGGAGCACTTGCACTTGCATCGCTGGTGCCCAAATGATCGGACAAGCGGCGCACGTCCAAGCACAGGACTATAACAAAGAGCGTCACACAGCCGGCCAGGCGGCCAAACCTTGACTCATATGGCTGATGGCGGGTTGTCAACTTAGCTCGAGTTTTTGAGAAGCTTTGGTGATTTTTGGCCGGCCTGGCGCGTTTCCCAGGGTTCAACCCGCCTCAGCCCTTGATGCCGTGGAGGCATCTGACACGATTGTGTGACGAAGCTTGTTATTCCAGACAGCTCCGAGCATCGGCTGGCAAAAAGAGGCGGCGCCTTGACTCTGCAGGTAGGCCAGTCGCCAGGCCAGTGGGCCTTTGAAGCAGTGCTGCGCAACTGTCTTGAAAGGTGGACGGTCGGTCGACAGATTTGGTTCCTTTGAAACCCGCTTGCATTGTGCGTCCCGGTGCTTCGTGCCTTGGGGGCGAGGACAAATATCAACTTCGGCGTCAACCCGCAGAGGCGCAAGATGCATGTGGATGCTCGATCTTCTTCAATGTCAGATGAATGAGTTGGAGAGATCAAGGTCCAAGCAGTGCACCGGCAGTGCAGTTGTTTGGACGTCAGGGCTGGAAGTTCTCGAAGTTCTCGCTGATGGGGCCCTTTAAGTTTGCTAAGCTAGATGAAAGTTGCAAGCTTCCACTGGCAAGCATCTCACCGATAGGTGCCGATGCTGTTAGTGATTGGGAGAATCCAAGGGCCCCATTGCATCACCTGAGCGTTTGGCGACGCTACAATTCAGGCACGACTTTCCGCACAGCTGCGGCAAAAGATGGGAAGGGTTTTTGATGTGCAGCTTGGGCAGCTGAACCATGGCTATCTCACCTCCATGGCATTTCGATTTTGTTTCAGCTCATCCTTGCTGTTGGCAGCGTGTTTCAAGTAAGTCGAGGCCCGTCCTCTTTCGCAGAGCTCTTCCACACCCTGCCGCAGCCTCAGCCTTGCAGGGAAGTGCGCTCGGTCATTTTCCGAGCTTCGATGTCCAAAGCCAGAAGTGTGGACGCGAACTGTTGCCTTTGCGTTCTGGAGCCGCAGGCTGGATCTTCCTTTGCTCGAGGCTTAGTGTGAGGTAGGGCTCGGGGCTTTTTGTCGGTCTGGTGCTGAGGACTGCTGCCTTTATGGAGCAGTATGAGCGACCAGAAGTGCCCAGTCTTGCAAAGCCATACGATTTGTACATTGCTACTTTGTGCGGGTTGTTAGATAGACGTCCCCTCCTGTGCTCAGGAGCCCCATGCAGATGCGCAAATGATGCGGTTGGGACTGGACCGCATGCCTGGATCACAGAGACCCTCATCCCAAAATTGCGCACTAACATGCCAACACAAGCAAGTCGTTCTCACGATCTTGACCGCCCCGCTTGCAAGGTCCCAACCCTTCAAGACTGTGCATCAGTGCCTTGACTTGAGCTTTCAGAATTTCAGAATCAACATTCACAACAGGGCTGCTGTGCGAGGCGATGTTTGAGTTGGTGGTCGGATGGCTTGCACGAGCACAGCAAAAGATAGTGTGGACCAATCTGTCTTTGGATGATTGAGGGGTCCCTGCAAGAAGGTGCAAAGGGCGGGCGTATGGCATGATTCATTTGTTGGTGTTTGAGCAGGCTTTAGCCAAGAGGGATATAATCCCTAGGTACATCATGAGGAACCAGGCCGGCCTGGGAGGGGTGCAGCGCTCGGTACTCTTTCCTGAGATGCACGTGATATGCCTCGTGTGTATGCCTCGTGTCGTCCTTCGGAGTGCGCGAGGTCTGTGTGTGGGAGACACGGGATGAGGCCCAGCTCTCCATGATCCGCGTGCCTTCCCCAGTTGCTGTTTTTTGCCAACTTGAAGACTTGGACCCGTTTGCCCATACTTAACTTTAACGCCTCCGGCTTGGACAGCCGATATTGTCTTACAGGCACGGTGCGAGAAACTCGATTTGGGAAGGGATCTGTTGCTTGACGCGGGACAGCCATAGGAAGTCTTGAGTGGGACCTGTGGTTTGCCTCGTTTGTCCATTTTCTTTTCCTAGCTCGGGATGCATTTGGTTTTTACTGTGTTGCAACTTCGTTTTTGGAAGGATCCGTGCACGTGATGGTTGGGGGTGATAGTGATGTGACTAGTCTCGTTTTTGCTGATACTTGCTGCTTTTTGTTTGCACCCTTTCTTTTTTGGAAAGGCCCCTGCAGAACTTGAATAAGGGCCTTTGGTTTGCCTCGGTTTGTTTAGGTTCCTTCCCTCGCAGGGGCTGTGTGCTGTTGCTTGTTGGACATGTTGTGTTCCTGTCTTCGGACAGATCCCCCGGACAGACTTGATGTGTGAGGGTGCTACTGATCCTGCCGATGCTTCTTTTTTTCCCGCATTTGTTTGCGCCCTTAAGGTCCTGCAGGATTTCAGGTATCCGGTGTCCCTTTTTTTCGAAGCCAAATGGGGGAAGGCGGGCCTTTGGCTTGCCTCTATTTGTTCGCGTCGCTTAGCTGTCAACGTGTGTGCTGTTGCTTGTTTGCAACTTTCTCGTATGTTTGGGACCATCCCCAGAAGTGATGGATGGGGTGCTACTGACGCAATGAAGCTGTGTCCCGCTGGTGCTTCTTTGTTGTGGTTGTTTACATTCTTTCCTTTAGCAAGGTCCTCCCAGGACTTGCGTGCCTCTGGTTGCTCGTTTTCTCTTCCCTACTTTCCGTATCTGCGGATATGCGTAGTTTGCGTTTGCAATGGGCATAGGTGATATGTGCACATGCCTGTCAGGAGCGCGCTCCCGAGCCATCGCTGATATAGGGAAAGGGCCTCCTCTTGTTTTGCAACCACGGCCTGGCTCTAAAGTTAGTCCACCGCCCAAAATCATGCTCTCTCGAAGGAGATCGGTTGCCGTTTCTTCCCAAACTCTGCACACCTTCTTCCGACGCACGACGAGAGGGTGACTTGCTGGCCGCATCACTAGCAGGCAACGGTGTGGGGCAAAGCTGGCTTCACGCCCCGGTTTTGCACAGTGCTCTCTCTCCATGCGCCTTGCCTGCATGGCTGGTTGGGAAGGGACAGCACGCGGGTATAAGTGAGAGACACCATTCTGCAGCCATGGAGGCTTGAGCCCGGCTGCGCTTCAGATTGGCGCCGCGTGGCCCATGCAATGATGCGGGCGCATCCCTTCGGCCTTGCAAGCGCCGTGCTAAGTTTCAACCGCCTTCCAGCTATAGCCACCATGGTCACTCGAAGGTGCCTTGGGGCCTGCTGTGCGTTTTGCTTCGACGACACTGCTCGTGGCAAGGGGCTCAAGGCGGTGCTGGCAGCCTATAGCGCTCTGGGGGCGGATCCGGACCCGTCTAAGCAGCAGCCAATGGTGGCGCAGGTCTTGGGAGTGCTTAGTGGCTTTTCGGGCCGCAGGCAAAGTCTCGAAGTGCGTCTTGATGTAAAACCAGGTTTGCGAGAATCTCTTGGCGCAGAAACTGAGCAGCTAGCCAAGCTTCACAGCTAGCCAAGCTTCCAAGCTCAGGGGCGGGTTTACATAGGCTGCGTCCGCTATGTTTGGAAGGCGGCCAGTGTGATAAGGCGCCGCGATGAAGCAACCGTGGCTTGGGCAAGAGTTTGCGCCTTTCTTTGTCCGCGCTGACGCTTCTAAGGGCCTAGCTGGGAACCTACTCAGATGCAGGCACCGGGCCTTGGTTTGGTGTGCTTCAAGCAAGGTTGAGCACAGGCGCAGGGCTTGGCTGCAACGATCCCAAAGGAGCTACTCCAGGCTCTGCTGCCGCACGCAGATCGCCCCGCTTGAAGCATTGGCAGTCTTGCAAGCCACGCTGGCCTTCAGAGCCACTTTGGCAAGCTCAGATGTCATTCTTTTTGTTGACAACATGGCCATTTGTAGTGGCCTGGTTAGGGGTGCCAGCCCGCGCGATGGCCTTGCAGATGTTGCGGCGGCGGCGCGCTTGTCTTGGGCAAGTTCTTCAACCCGTGTTGGGTTGAATGGGTCCCCCAGTGAAGATAATCTGATAGATCTCATGCAGAGGCCCCGCCATCAAAACCCGACGAGATATAAGCCTCTGTCACAGACTCTCTGGCCGCGCAGACAGAAAGAATGAGCTTGCTCCGTGCACGCAGCTCGCGCTTAATTTTTATGAAAGGCCACCGCAAGGTGATGGATGGCGCGATTTGTTTGTGTGCGCTTTTTGGCTGGTCTTGAGTAGGGGCCTTTGGGATTGCTTCCGCCCGTTACTAACTCTAGACGAACTTGAGCGAGAAGCCAAGCCCGCTCCCAAGCAGCGCATCGCCCACCCCAACACAGACCATGTTTGTTATACAGCTGGACAGGCAACGTTCAGTTTCTTCTCCATGGCGGGCGCTCGCAATTGTGTTTTCAATTTTCTCTGTGCTCCTTTCGGGAAAGCTCTCCACAAGTGAGGGAATGGGGTCACTGAGCAGGAACGTGCTGATGTTTCGTGTGCTTCTTTTCTGTTTGCACACATTCCTTTTTGATTTTCACATCCTTCGTCACCTCATTCTGGGCATGTTCTCTCAAGACACAGCAGGCATGTTGTCTGGCATGTTATGATGCTGAGGATGCTAAACGATGCTAGGGATGTTGGACGGGCGGGTCAGGGAGATTCCACCACCCCAAAGTTCTTAGGCCAATCTGTCCCGCGTCCCCTACTAACAGGGAGGGTTTGCGAACAAGCCGTTCAAGGCTACTAATTCCGCCGAGGATGTGTTTTCAGATACTCGGGTTTCATGTTGGGTGTTTGCGGCGTGTTGTCCTCAAAACTCTGTTTTCAAAGAAGTTTTGCGGTCTTGGCACAAGTTCATCGGAAGCGGAGCAACTGCAGTTCAACATAATTTCACTTGTGGTCTCGGTATGTTTGAAGCCCGAGAGTGAGGGAGCCATTTACCATTCTACTTGCTGGCGTTTGTTGGGGTTATGGCTTCGCAATCATTCACAGCTGCCTCTTCGACCGCGTTTGCGCGTTGTTTTTTCTGAACCACTGGCTGCGTGTAGCTGGCCAGGCACCCTCGGGGTTCGAAGAGATGTTCCTGGTGCCCACGTGTAATCTCCACACCCACTTAAGTTGTCGCGTTTTACGGTAATTTCCGCGCGCGGTGCACATGTAATCGCTGGAAACAACCACAAAGGGTCACGTCGTGCAAGCCTCAATGTAGCATACAGTGTGTGCATATTGCAGCGAGCGCCCTTGGGACGTGTTGGTTTGGGGGCAATATGGCCTTTCATATTATAAATTCATGTGCTAGACAAGGCCATCTTGACACCGGCAGTTTGATTAAGCAAAACTGGTACGCGGGCCTCAGAAATGCAACGTTCTGTCTCCGAGCATAGTTGCATTTGCATGTGTGACAAACGCTTTCTCCGACAGTTCAAAAACCAAGAGCGCTCTTCCCGCGCACGCTTTAGCTGAGGTTAAAAAAAAAAGCGCACCATTCCTGAATCAATCAGATCGCCTTTTGCCATGCTTGAGCTATTCCTTTTGCTGGTCAGCTACCCCGGTTTTGCATTTAGCTGCGAAACTTTCAACCCCATCCACTCATCAGGAGAGTCTGTGGACCGGTTGTGTTTTGCGCCTTCTTGGGCGCTATAGTGTGCAGCTGCTGAGTAGCGCTGGCACTGTCACTAGTTAGTTGTGGGAGCACTTACTTGTCAAGTGGCTGGCTAGCGGCGCTGCCATGGTTATTGTCATTCGGCTGCGGGCACTGGTTGTCCAGCATGTGTTTTTTGATGGTTTTGTCGGGTTCGCAAGTAAACGGCCTATTTGGCTGCTGGTTGGGTTTCTTGTCTGCACTATTTGGTGCCTCGCTTGGCTGCAGCTGATGCTGCTGGTGCATCACGTCACGTTAGGAAAGGCGGTCGGATCGAGCTGCTGGTCACTCATCCCATTGCAAGTAAGCTGACATTCTTAAATTTAATCAAACTTGAACTATAGTAGAAGCAAGCCTCATGAACCTGAGGTTTTCGGTTCCAATGACGGACATGAGGCACATATGGGCAGCTAGCATCGTTGGAAAACTACATTGTGTCTGGGGGGTAAAAATAGCTTGTCGTGGCTGGAGTTCGTAGAAGTTCGTAGGGCCTTGTGGGGGCTGTGGTAGCCGCTCGAAATGTAGGCCCAATGAATTCCGACGAAATCCAAAGAACTCCTACGAACTTGGTGTGTTGCATGGCTGCATGGCCAAATGCTCACACTGTGACGTGCTAGAACTCAAAAAAGGTGATTCCGGCACAAAACGCTGGGAAACACAACGATGGATTTTGTGAGATTTTGAGGCAGTGAGCAGCCCCAACGAGGCCCTACGAACTTCCTACAAACTCCAGCCACGCCAGGCCATTTTCACCCCCCGGACACAATGTACCCGTCTGTGCCTCACGTCCAGCACTGAAGCCGAAAACCCCAGGCGCGTGAACATTTTGAGTGAACATGTCAGCTTGTTTGAAGTGGGGGATGACTGACAAGCAGCCCAATGCGACCGCCTCTCTTAACATGATGCAGCAGCATCAGCAGCAGCCGCAGCCGCAGCAGCAAGCGAGTGAGGCACCAAACAACGGACCCGACAAGGACTGCGCGACGAACCCGCAGCGCCAGCCAACTCACGCTCAATCGGAGTAGAGTACGCTGAGCCAACAACAGCCAAATAAGCCGCTTACTGGCGGGCCCGACAAAAAAACATCAAAAACAGATGCTGGACAACCAACGCCGGCAGCCGACCGACAATGACCGTGGCAGCGGCAACAAACAAGAGGCAATCACCTATATCGCACACTACAGCGCCCGCCGGCATCCACGAAGGCGCAAAACAACAACCGCCCCAGCGACGCGCTTGATGAGTTGATAGGTTTGAAAGCTGCTCAGCTACATGCAAAACTGGGGGAGCTGATCACGGACTAGGATGTTCAAGACATGAAACTGGCAAAAAAGTGATTTGATTGACTCAGGAATAGCGCGCGCGCGCAAAACACATGTCTCTCAGTTTGTTGAGCCTCAGCCAAAGCGTGGGCGGGAGAAACACTAGTCGTTGCAGACTGTGCTACACAACGTTTTTGGATATGGCGCAGGCTTAGCAATCGCTTAATGGGATGCAGGTGGAAGGTGCTGCTGCAATCATGCAACTAGCTATGATGTAGCGCCTACAAACGGCTTAAGTTAAGCAGAAAGGCTGTAGTTGTCACGCGCCCAAATCTTAAACCGCTATAACGCTGCTGTTTGTCAGGACTTGCTACGTGTTTTTCGGCTAGATCCGGCATCATGTTGAGCCCAAAATCTAAAAACCCGAGTACATCCGGCAAACTTGCAAGTCAGTTTTACGAACCGCCTTGGCTCAACATACATACCCCACCAACGGCCCTATCCGTTTAGCAAAATTCACCCCAAAAACCCGCCCCCGTGAAGAAACAACAGGAGGCTCGTGCAAACTATGTTTGTACCAGCATTTTGCTTGTACAGTGCTCGTACACACTTTGCTGCACCAAGCAAGTGTTGCTCACGCAATGCTCGTGCAAACTGCTCGCACAAACCGCTCGCACAACGCTCGTACAAACTAGTTTGTACGAGCATTTTGCTCGTACAATGCTCGTACAAACTTGGTAGTACAAAACAAGTATTGCTCGGACAATGCTCGTACAAACTGCTCGCGCTACGCTCGTACAAACCAGTTTGTCCTGACAGCTGTTTCCAGGCAAAATTCATATTCTAACGCCTCCGGCTCAGGCCGCCGCACAGGCCTATAGCAAAAGTGGATGTGTGCAAGCGGGAGTGGTTGCTGCCGTGCTTACACATATTCCCGGAGCCATTGCCATTTTGAGATTTTTTATCCGTCAATAATTTGGCCACTAAGAATTTAGGACTTTAAGCCATGAACAAAGGTTTTCAGCCATTATGTGTTTTCAGATTTCAAGCCATTAAGATGTTAACACGTTGAGCCACTAAATGTTTAATAGTTTCAGCCATTACCATTTTTAGGTTTCAACCCACCAATATGTTACGTCTAAGTTGTTGAACTTAGTAGCCAGTGAGATGTTCTGACTTTATTCCATGAAACACAAAAGGTTTTCAGCCATATAGTTTTCAGACTTTAAGCCATTAAGATCTTAAAGCGTCGAGCCACTAAGACTTTAAGTTGTTCACCCGTTACCTGTTTTCACATGTGAATCCACTGATATGTTACCACTAAGATGTTAAGGTTGTAAGACAGGAACATTTCCAGAGTTTAATCCATGAAAAGGTTAAGGAACATATTTTAGGCCATTAAGATGTTAACACGTTGAGCCACGAAGGTTTTCATGATTTCAGCCAGTACCATTTTTAGAGGTTAGTCCACCAATAATTTGGCCTCTGACATATTAAGACTTGCAGCCAGTAAGGTTTTCAGAGTTTGACCCATGCAAAATGCTTTCAGCAATGATTTTTCAGATTTTGAGCCATTAATGTTGTAACACGTTGGGCCACTAAGATTTTAAGATTTTCAGCCATTAACATTTGTAGATTCGATTCTAATCCATTAAGACCTTAGCACTAAGATTTGAATACTTTAAGCCAGCAAGATGTTCAGAGTTTAACCCGCTAATAATTTTAGATTGTCAGCCGTTTTTCAGACTTTAAGCAGTTAAGATTTTAACACGTTGAGCCACTACGATTTTCAGATGTTCAGCCATTACCTTGTTTTTACATGTAATAAGATGTTCAAGGTGTTGAGGCATTTTAAGCCATTAAGTTTTTAACACGTTGAGCCACTAAGATTTGAAGACGTTCAGCCACTACCATCTATAGATTTCAAATCCATGAAGACTTTTAGCACTGAGAGTTTAGGAGTGTAAGCCCGCCAGATGTTCAGAGTTTGATCCATTAAGAATCGAAGGTTTGCGGCCAGTATTTTTTCAGGTTTTAATCCCCACGAACATTTAAGACTTCCAGCCATTCCCGTTCTTAGGTTTTATTCCAGTAAGATTTTACTAGTTTAAGTCATCTCAGTGGCTTAACGTGTCCACAATGTCATCCAGATATGCCAGTGAGGCTGGTGATTCTTGCGATGTTGCGCCGGAGCTGCTGAGGATGCCAAAGCGGACCCGGGGGAGTCGAACACCCCAATGTTTTTACCCTGCCGTCCCGCACCGCCCTCGCATGAAAGGATTGAGTAGAACGTGTTGGAATCGCCAAGTACGTGGCCACCCCCCTGCCCCCCGGAAAGTCCGAACCGTGCCCCCGGAAAGGGGTGAGGAGAGGGGTAGCAGGTAAAGAGATAAGGGTCCAACACGCTACAAAACAAGTATTGCTCATAGCTGCTCCAAGCAAAATGCATATTGGCCCGCCCGTCCGTGCTCGACTACCCCAGTTTCGGCAAGCAGTGGCTCGCGCGTGCAACTTCAGCATCGGACAGTTTACTGCGTTTTGGGGCGACTGGACGGTTCCTAGCTACTTGCGCTTGCGGGAAGGTCTGCAATACGTCTCCGCCATGCTCACTGCTCGAGATGCAATGCAGACACGTGACAAGGATGTCAGGAGCCTTCAAAAATCTTCAAAACATCTGGGTCTATCAACTTGCTGTGCTTTGGGCTGTTGCTGGTGGCGGTCCCAAACCAGCCTGGCCAGGCGCATTGCGCGTGTGACTGAATGACTCAGATCTGGCCTGCCGATGCAATCAGCTTGTCCACTCTTCCACCGCAGTTGAGAAGTTGTCTAGTTGCAAAGAAGCAACCCCGTTGCGGTTTGCTCATGCTCAGCCCGGCTAAGTTTACAGCAAAACCCGTTTTAGGAAACTTAAATTTGGTGGTTTTTTTTTAATGTGGTGGCCCTTTTGCGGAGTTGCGCCGTTGATGAAGGCGCCAACGCCAAATTTAGGAACAGACATGCGCGCGCGCGGACAAACACACACACACATGCACATAGGGGTATATATATATATATGTCTTTGTGCGTGTGTATTCATACGTATATACTTATAGAGCGGGTTATTGCGGGCTTGCGGTGCTTGACGTGCTTTCAAAAAGAGGCAAGCGTGCAGGCAGCCAGCGCAGAAACAGAGTTTGCGGTTTTGTGCTCCAAACTCACGTTTAACTGGCGCGGGAAAATCGACCCGTAAATCCAACATCCTCAACGGAATTAGTATTCAAGGCCACCCTTCCCCCCGCCCCCGTGAAGTCCAGGTTCGTCCCCGGGAGGAGTAAGGGGAGGGGAGTAAGGGGAGGGGTAACAGAAAGGGAGGAAGGTAGGCCGTCTGTAGTCGGCGGATTTAGCCCAATTGGCTGACGACCCTTCGGCCAGTCTGGGCTTGTGCCTTTGCCTGAAGCGTAGTGCTATACAAGCTACTGGCATCACGCCAAGGTGCTGTGGAATTCTCTGCCTGTGACACCACGGGTGCCTAGCCTGTTTTTTTTGCGTGTGCTTTTTGGCCATTGCCTGGCCACGGTTCGAAATGGGAAGGCATTTGATAGCTCAAGCTGACAACATAGTGGTTCGGGGCCAACTTGCGCATAGTGCACCAAAGCAGCCATGCACCAGAGTTTTGCCATGGCAACCGCAATTCCGAGGTTAACGAGACCCAGCGGCAAAAACACACACACACACACCTCCACCAGCCAAAGCACTAAACATGCGCAGCCACTGCCAAAGCAGAAACCAGGGTCTCAATTGGTGGTTTGCTCGCCTGCGTGGGATGCAACCATATCGCCTACAAGGCTGCGGGGTTTGTGCTCACAGTTCAATCAAGAGCATTAGCATGCTCAGCCTGAAGTTTTGTACCGCCTCAAAGCATCAGGAAGCTGTTTGACCCAGCTCGCATGAGCTCACGAAGAGGCAATTGGCACCAGCCACTCAACTCAGTGCATGGTTTGTGCGGTGAGGCCGATCTCCCTCTGGGAGCGTAGACAGGCAGAAGGCACTGTTCCTGAGATCGGTGATTTGCTCAGTTGGTCATTTTGAGGCCAAGGTGATAAAGCTGGACAGCGACCCTGATAAGCCTACCGAGGCAAGAATCGCACCTTCGCTTGGAATGACCATGCGCCTGCCCAAGCTGATTGCACAGGATAAGAAGACGGCCAAAAAACTGAAGACGCTGTGCTCGCATTAACTAGTTTCATGCGTCACCCGCTGGGTTCCGCATGAGCGAGTTCCAGCGAAGCTTTGATTCCCCGGCACCAGGAAGAAAGAAAAGAAGGCAAAGAAGGAGGCCCCTCTAGAGCCCCTAGAGTTGAAAGCCAACATGTCGTGCAAGCGCATGACAGGCGAAGAAAGCCAAGAAAGCTGCAAAAAAGCTGCTTCTAGAATGTATTATGTAAAGGCGTTGCCCACCCAAGCACAAATGTGAAACATCTCAGGAAGAAGCTGAAGAAGGCAGCAAAGAAGAGCGCAAAGAAGCATCTTGGCTGGCGGCTGCGAGTGTGATGGGTCCGGGTTTCAACTCACGCTGCTCATGCAAGGAGCAGTAGTGATTCGAGCAGTGACTCTGATTCAAGCAGCCTCCCTTTTGCTTGGGGCCAAGTCGCTTCTTGTGGGATATGCCATTACTGAAGCCAGGTTTGCTTGTTGGATGCTTGGATATGCTGCATTGCCCAGGTCATGGAGATGGACTTCTCCCAGTCTGGAAAGGAAGCACGGCTGCAACACAACGCATTTTTCCCCCTTGATGCGCCGTTGAACTCGTAGTCCTTTTTTCCTTGGTTTCAGGAGGGTTATGCAATCCGCCTTTTATCTACGATAGAGGTTGTCATGAAGGCGAAACCAAAGAATGGTTCCCGGAATGATCATTTGAACGGTGTCTTGGAAAATACCTTCATGCTTACTTTCATGGCAGCGGCCCCAAGATGGCCGTGAAGCTCATGCTTGTTGATGCTGGATAGCAAGATTTGCCCAACAGCATGCCAATGTCCAGGGCCCTGAGAAATGCACTTTTTGGCAGCCGGAGGGCTGCACCTTGGACAAGCTACAAAGGCAAGATGTATTTGATGCATGAGCTTGTTCATGACTCAGGAGCCTGGATGCCTTTACCGGCGTGTTCACGCATTTCACACATTTGCATGAGGGAGTTCAAGGGTGGCGCCCAGTTACGGAGCGGAGGTCTTGGATCCTCGCAATCCTGATGCTAGAATCCAACGGGTGGGCGACTCGAGCAAATAGCGCCGTGGCTCGGGGGAGCCAGCTCCGCACGCGGCTTCGAGGCACTTGGCTTGTCCTGTGGATCCTTCTCTTTCATCGAGCGGAAAGATGACGAGGAGGCGGGCACTGCCCTTGTCTTTGTCGAATCTGCGTGAGAGTGGGGCAAGGTCTACAAAGACGGCCGTAAACAGAAGTTCCAGGAGTGGCAGGGCTTCCACGGAGCATGTGCAGGCGACGCTGTTGACAACGGCAGGATGGGGAAGACCAGAGCAAAGACTGGATCTGCCTCCGCTCCAAAGCAAACGGAGAGCCGCACTTGACTTGGCCATGTTGAGGTTTCTGCTTTGTCTCGCTACTGCTGTCAACGTTCCACTTGAGGTGTGGGGAGCGGAACTTCCCAAGAAACGAAAAATGCTTCCGGTGCAATGGGCTGCGGCAGAGCAACGCGCCTCTCGTGCCTCAGCTCACACCACGTCAGTTGTTCTGGCTCTTAAACACTTTCCTGGAGCTGTCAGCTGCCTGCAACCAGGTCAAGGATTACAAGCCGAGACTCGGCTGAATAACACATGGGCACCCACTTTGCAAGGCAATAGCATGCCCGGAGGAACAAGATCGATGGGCGCAAGTTCTGACTTGAGAATGAGGGCCATTTCCTGGTCTCCAAGAATACTACCTGCCAATGTTGTGATTGTCGCACTCGGCTGGCAGCCACTAGCAGTGAAAACAGCTGTGCGGAGTGTGCGTAGGGAGCAAACTGCTGATAAGCCTCTGCCAGTCCTGCCACTGCAAGCTGGGCTAGGTGTCCAGCGTGTGCAAGCTGGTGCCACGATTCTTGAGGGTTTACTTCGACGCCAGCCCCTTTGAAGGTCTGAACATGTCCTGAAGGTCGTCCCAGTCCCTTGCCCTGAGCCTACGGCTGAGGTTTTGCTCGCCAATGCCCCGCCAGAGTGTATTGAGAAGGCTCACGCGGGGAGTCTCTTGTAGTTTTCTCCTGGTGCAAGTGAATGGCCTATTTTGCTTGTAGACGGCTAGGCCAATGCAGAACTCATGTTGTTCCATGCCAGTGATCGAGCAGTTTTTATCTGCATTTGTCACCTGGCAGCGCGCAATTGGCAAGGGGGAACCTTGCCCACGAGCTTTGAGACTTTGAAGGTGTTTCTGTACAGGCGGTTTTGTTTGAGGCCGTGCCAGAGTTGATGCGAAGGTTGTGCCGCTGCTCCTGCAGCGTTTTGCTTCTTTGTATCCCGTGGACTTCTTCCTCAACTCTGTCACGGCCTGATCAGTAAGGAATTGTATTCCAGGGTTTTCCCTGTGCTTTGAGTGTTTTAAGCTCCTGCCTGCGGCTGTGGGGGAGGGGCAGGGCCGGGGCTTAGGAAAGTGGAATCCAAACAGTGGTTGTGTTTGGTTCTGATTCATGACCACAGGACAAGTGCATCTTGCAAACTGCGCGCATGGCATACGTCACCTTGTTCTGCAAGCAGAATAAGGTCCACACCCTGATTATTGACACGCTGCAGGTGCTGCAAATGAGACGCATGTGGGACATGGTTTCTAAGCGAGCCAGGCAATCTTCCAGCAGTGGCCAGCCTTTCTCATGTCGCTCAAGCGGGAGGCGCTTTACCACTAAGTACTCCAACCATTCAACCAGCACGTTCATGCAGAGCTTAAGTGCTTGCCATGCAGTGGGTACGCTTCTGTGGTTTGCTTGGTCTGGTTTGCATGTGGACGCGGCTTGCGTGGCCAGGTGGTGCATGCGATCTCCACGCACCTGGACTTGCAAGGCATGCCTTGTCTTATTTCTCCTGGCTCAATCGGGCCTTCGCAGGCCGGCTCCTGGTCCTTCATTTGTGCTGGATCATCGGGGAACTTCTCAGGACGCTGCATCACAATTTGCTCCATTCCACGGTCAGACGGAGTCACACAAGCAACGCAAGATATACCAGCATAGACCCGAGATAGCAAGAGCTGATTTGGAAACACGCGTCGGAATGCACCTGTTATGATGCTCAGCCGCTCATCAGCTTGACAGCCGAACAAACCCAGGGGGTTGAAGAGTAGAACATGACTGTAAGCAAGTCGCGCAGCGTTACTTGGTCAAGACAGCTTGAGCCTTTGGTCCAGGTGCTGATGATCTTCAACAGACACACTCACACTTCAGCTAGCTTCCAGATAGGGGCGCAATTAGATCAGATAGTTTTGCAGATAGCTTGTAGAGTATAGAGTGCAAATTTTCGGCCAAAGCACCTCAAAAGTGGCACATGAAGCAAATCCATACTATTTGTGATTGGCCACGTGATTGAATGTCATTCGGAAGTGTTGCGATAGTAACCATCCGTTGACATGTGGCTCAAGTTTGTGGTTGCGACCTCGGATGAGCGTCGCCGGACCCTTGCGTCGACCGACGGGATCTTGGGGGAGAAAGAGACCTCAGGCTGCTGTCAGGTTGGTAAGGTCTATCCGTGCGTGCGGTTCATCGTCGGCTTAGGCTGTCGGGGAACCTTTTCTCTTTCGGTTGTTTGCTGTGGTTGTTTGGTCACTGGTGTGTGGGAAACCCTGATCTTTGGGACCGGGGATTGGTCACTGTTTTGGGGCCTTTCTTTTGTGGCTGATTTACCCCAACTAACCCATTGCCTGGGCACAGGTCCATGCCCGAAGCACAGGTTATCAGCCGTAGGACTTTCCTGCATGCTTGTGACCTACGACTACAAGCGCTATGACGTCGACCCCGCGGAGCACCAGGAGGATCGTGGATGAGGAGGCCATCCTGGGTGGGCCGATTAGGTGAGGACATGCCGGACTATGTCTGCGAGGATTTTGAGGAGAGCTCGGCAGGGTGGTTGCAGGGGTGGCGGCTCCGCCGTTCTCTCAGGTCAGGAGGAACCTCATCCTGAAGGACATCAAACGAGGACAAGATTTCCAGGGTCAGTTGATGCGCATCCAGGCGATAGCCAGGCCGATAGGCAGGATCAGCAAGATATTGATGAACCTGATGTGGCGCGTGTGGATGCCGTTGATGAAAAGAAAAACATCTCTCGGCGGAGGGCGAAATTCAGAGAGGCCGCTAGGCCTAGGAGTCCACCGCCTGACTTTGCAGGCCCGAAAACTCTGATGAGGATGGGGATTCTCGTTCACCCAGAACCAGGGCTCAGCAGAGCCGGCCGGTGCTGAGAGGTTTGGAGAGGTCAACAGGGTGGGCCCTCCTCCTGGTTTCGACCCTCCCCCTTTCCCCAACATCACTTTCGGAGGATCTGTGCATGGCCAGATTGAGACTGGTACTGAAAATGCTGAGGTCGTTAGGCAAGCAGCAAGCATTCTTGATGAGGCATCTCGTGATGGCAGGCTTGAAAACGAAAGGTTCAATTCTGTGAGAAGCCCGTCAGGGCGAGAACCGAGCAATGCCGAACCACTGAGATCCAGCGATGAGTTCACTCCTCAATGGAACATTGAGGAAGGAAGGGAGGATCCGCGAACAGGGAACGAAAGCAAGGAGATGAAGCCCTGAGCCAGGGAGCATCTTCCACGAAGCAGAGATGCTTGATGCAGCTGATGTTCACATACACTCTACTCCTGAATCCCGAAGGTCCGACCGTGCTTCCACACGTTAACGCGCCGGAGCATCCTGAAAGAGTTGAAATTTCTACTCCTCCCGCCATTAGGCCAAGGTCATCCAGGAGCTCTGGTGAACAGGAGAAGGATGGCTGGTACGCTTGTTGCGTTTGCGGACCAAACCCGAACGATGAATGGCCTGATTGCATCGATGAATCAGGTATGGACGGAGGAGCGGCGGCGAGTCAGAAAAGATATAGGTCGCCTGACTGAGGAAATCGAGGGTTTATCCGACGCTAGTCGGATGCGAATGATCGTCCAACTGTTCGCGAGGGAAGTTATTCCCGATGCTCAACAGAACTGCGATTGATGAACAAGACGTTGCCGTTGGTTCAACAATATGTTCTCCGAGATTCAGGACTCCATTAGAAGGTTTGAATGAAGACGCTTGAGGCCTTTGGGAACCGGGTTTCACGCTAGAGGATCTGGCCTCTCAAGGTCTCTCCACCGTTTCAAGGACCGTTTGGGTCTTGGAAGGCAGTGTCAGGAATCGGTCCGAGACCTGGCGCTGAGTCTCCTGTCTCGAGAAAAAAAAAAGGCCACAATGCGCGGGTGATGAAGAAGATCCAGAAGCTCGAGGATGAGAGCAAGGCCGCGGTGTCGTGCATGGAGAATGTCATGCGGGACACACAGGCTTTGCAGAAAGACTTCGACGTGCTCCGTTCGAGGCTAGGTCTTCGGATGACCGTGGGTTGCCCGATCGTCTACACACAGCACCTGACGGTCCACAGGAAGGTCGACGCCCTTACTGCGAAGCACAGGAATGAGGTGCAGCGCACGCGCGCAGTGCACGATGACCTAAGGCCAAGGACACAGCTCCGGAACTTGCCAGCAGGTCCTACCCTGATACGGAGCACGGACAATGTTCAGGCAACTGTCAGACGTGAGCTCATCCACTACAAGGCTCAGGTGAACAAGTGCACGAGAAGGGTTGCTGAGATCGAAAATGACATTGACAATGTGAGCGAGATGGGCGAAGACTTCCTGACGAGGATTTTGGCTCTTGAGGGGAAACTCTCTCAAGGAGTCAATGCCGTGTTGCAGAGATACTGGCTGAAGGGGTGCCAGTGAGATTGCCCACGCCCACTCCTCCTGACCGTACTGGACGAACTGCGGAGCAGCGTCAAGGCGGCAATAGGCTACCGGGAGAACGGACCCCTTGTGGAATTGGGTCGGACGTTCGCCTGAGCAGGCGGCAAGGGGCCGTTCGCACTCCCTGTCAGAGGACACGAGGAGAACTCAAGGAAACAGGAGGAGGATCATGACGCCGTCTCCTGAGAGGGGGATCAAGTCAAACCGGCATGTTGCGAGCTCAAGGTCTCCCGTTAGGGAGGCCGATTGGCACTCACCAGGTCTGACTGGAAGGTCTTCCCACGATGGCGGAGGTCCGACGCAGGTGCCGATCGGCGGGTAGCAGCTCACACAGACGAAGTTTGCTGAGCCCGATGCAATGTGTGCCCCGAGATGTACCAGTTGTACAGCGCGCCGACTGCGGAAAGGAGATTTGCGTCTCACATACATTGTCGGGGCACGATGGCCGGGATGTTCTGTCGTTGCAACGCCTTGCGCCAGGGCACACTGGGAAAAGAGCCGCCTCCCCCTCCGGGACAAGAGCAGAGAAAACCTGACACAGCGGCGACAATGGGCCTCTAGGTGCACCGTATGGTGGAGGAGCGGCTTTTGCTGGCCTTGGCAATTCTGGTAGATCTGGTGCTCCTTACTTCTCAGGACCGCCTGTCCACAGCCACGATAGTGGCGGGGCTAACCAAGGTAGTGGGGCTAGCTAGCCAGACCCAAGGCGCTGCAGGTTACCCTTCCAGCACTGGCGGTGGCAGCAGTTCTGGCGCTTGTCCTGGGCCATGCCCGTGCGTTTCTGGAGACGGCCGACTAAGAGGGACGGAGGCTTGCTCCCTCGGAACTGGTGCGCTAAGTGTTAGCGGGTGGCCTCGATCGACCAACCTCTCGTCCCGACACGTGCTGCCCCTTGCCCGCAAGGTTATGGCAGGGCACCGTTGAATGTCCAGGTGCCTGACGTCCCGATGTCTTTGTTGTTTCCATCTAAAATGACAACAAGGGTAGGCTTGTCAACCGTTCCCACCCAGCAAGAAACTGGCTAAAGAGACGCAGAGTGCTCTAATAAGAGCGGCCTCTATACATGCTCAGGTGTTGCTGGATAATGATGATGACAACAACAGCGCGAACCGGGACACACCAGGAAGGTTGCAGCTCCTGTGATGGGGTGAGATGGTTGACACCGGCTGTCCCATGGACCTTTTTTGGTTGAGCGACTTGAAACGTGATAGGGCGCTCATCGCTAGAGGAGGTCACGCGCATGCCTTCACACAGCCAATGGCGCGACTCGCACTGCTAGCCGAATCGCCGAATCGATGCTGACGTTGGTGAGCTGGATGAGGTCATTGAGGCGCATAGGCTCCCAAGGTGTTTGAGGCAATGCCCGAGCCAACTAAGGGCAGGCATCCTGAGGATTCATGGCGAACAGAGCGCTCAGGTTACATTGTTTGGAAGCACCGGCTGCCACGTAGAGCGTTGTTCATGCCAGTCGATGATGATTGTCCTGTTGGGGTCAGGCGGAAAACCGAAAGGGGCCCCGCCGGCTTTTGGAAGCATAGGTGTCGGATGGGAAGCTCTTTGAGGAGTTATCCCTATCGCATCGCCCCAAAGCAATATGCTGCCCATCCACCGTTGTATGCCTGTGTTGCCAGGCCTGTGAACAAGAAGGAGCAAGCTACAAATGCTAAAGCGAGGGCTGCTCTGCAGAAGGAATGGGACAAGCTGACATCTCAGAAATGCTGGGACTTGTCTTCTGTCCGGGAATGGTCCGATGTTGCTGCGGAGGCTCATGTAGGTAGGATCTTCAACATTTGCTTCGAAAAGAATCATGAATTGCCTGAAGATGACCCCAACCGCATGTGCAAAGGGCGAGTTGTGTTCGAGCGGTGCTTCGTTCGCGAAGAAGCTGGCCACTGGGCTTTGTTCTCAGAAGCAACGTCGTGTCTTGCTACAATGGCTGCAGGGAAGATGTAACGCTCGCGGGCTGCTTCCTGGAAATCTCTGGAGGTGAGCGATGGGGAATCGGCTTGCACGCAGGCACTGCCCTTCGGTAAGGATCCCACGTGACCAATGGCCTTCGGAGTGGTTCCTGCCGAATAGCCTGTTGTGGTATTGGTGCTTGCTCTCTACGGGCATCCCGGCACAACGAGCTCGATCTGTTCCTTGTCGTGTACGTTCATGACTTCAAGATGAGTGGCCC